ATTTATTTAGCCTACTGAGATCAAGGATCAATTTCTTTTTGTTTTTGTTTTCGGCGACACTCAGTGTTCTACACACAAATGGCTGAAAAGGAACATCTAAAATACGTTTGTTTTTCATCAAATCTAAATTTCTGAATTAACAAATTCATAATTGTTTATAGCAGACTTGATATTTTGAAAACACATAGATTTGAAACGAAAGGAATTTCATATCCAAATTCAATAACTTTCAAAATAAAAGGATTTGTGCCAATTTCTCTCCATTTACTAACATTTCTTTTCAAATTGTACTTTATCAATGACATTTGTTTTAAATTATTTTTCTGAAGGCATTTCACCTGGCCAGCAAGATTAGAATAGCTTGTATAACCTGTATACTTATCATTGACTTTGTGACTTGTTTTTGGGGCAGTTGGCTTTCCAGTGTCCAGTGGAAAAACAGTTGAAGCATACGTCCCTGGGCTATGGTTGACGCCTTGTGAGTTTGCCACGAAAGGACTGCTGCTGATATGTAAATGGCTGAGATGTAGCAGTAGAGGAAGAACCAGAAGTAAGCTGGGCTGCCGAGCCTGCCGCTGCTGTCGCTGTAGAAGCTCTGTAGGAGCCATACGGCCATACGCTTGTTCTGGGCTTGCCTTTGCTGCCTAAGGGCTCGGTTTTCAGCGCTTCTAATTTTCTTCTCATCGTCAGAGTTGTCGGCAATTTCTCTGGACTGATACTCGTTTACTGTCTTCCACCCTGCAGGAGATGAATCGGCAATACGAATGTATTTCTGTCGCGTTTTCAGTTTTTTCCGCAATTCGCCTATTATTGACACTGATTCACTGTCTTTATTTTCGAAAGCTCTTATCTCTAGTTTTTCTAGACCCTCAAAAATTTCAGCATTAAAATCGTACTGAGCGCGATTCCCTTCAGATTTAGTCTTAAGAGTAGAGTTTTCTTTAAGTTTCTTAGCAATAGACTCCGACTGTTCTGCTTTAAGTTGACCTGAAAGGTTTTGAAATTGTGACGGCAAAACTCCTGTAACAAGCTTCACCACGTCCGAAATATCCAACGGAGGATTACTACCAGTAGTTTCCTTTGTAACTTTCTAATTATCATTAGTCTCTAGCAAAATTTCGTCTCCAGAATCGCCCATGACAGAATATGATGAATGACGAAAACGTGTTGACTGCACGAAATAGAGCTTTCGAATGGCTTTCCCTATACAGAATTTCTTTCACGGTCATTAATAGCCCGTGCTATGAATATTTATGTCACCTGACTAGGTGACCATCCTTACTGCCAATATATGATAAGAATAAACAAACACAAACACGTGTTTGCGTTACATTAATAAATACGTTTACTTATATGTTATGGTCGCTATATTGATCCTTTCACAAATACAACCTATCATTGGCTTCATTTTGACCGATGGGTTTCATTCTAATTTTAAGGCTTTTAATTTTTTTTTAATTCTTATACTGAATTTGACTAAATGGGATGTTCTACCCACCTGATCAATATAATATTATACATGTATAGAGCTTTCTATACACCAGATTTCCAGGATTTTTGTTTTATGCCCTATTCATAGTTTTGTAGTTATTTATGGATGTGGATTTTAGAAAGTATTGTCAAAAAATAAAGTTGTCATGCTTGAAGATAACTGAAATCGTGTAGTGATTAGAATGTACAATATATACACGGGATGATAGGTTTATTTCTATTATTTTTGAAAGGGAAAAAAGTTGAAACCGAAATATAAATAGATACTGATAAATTCCGTAAAACACGAATGATAGGTTTTTTTTTTCAATATTCAACGTTACACCGGCATCAAATCAGACGCGTATCATTACCGTCACATTTTCAAAATTATCAGTACCACTCTATACTCAGTACCGCAGAAAAAGATTACATTTCATTAGTCAGCGGCTTATAATAATAATAATAATAGTGATTGGATTTATATAGCGCTTTTCTAGCATAAATGCTACTCAAAGCGCTTTACAATCATTATTACCCCAGCAGACCTTAACAATCCAGAATCTTTCTCAGGGCAAGCTGCCGTTATAAGCACTAAAACACTAACATTCTGACAATATCTTTCACTGTCTATAGCCAGGTACCCCTTTTACACTTGGGTGGAGTGAGGAAATTCGTGTAAAGTGCCTTTCCCAAGGACACAACGTCGACTTGCCGCGGCCAGGATTCGAACTCACAACCTTTCGGTTTGGAGTCCGGCACCTTAACCACTAGGCTACCGACGCCAGTTACATTCATTGGACTTGTTTGTAAAGCTCAACAAAGTGGGGGCGGGGTGGGGTGGGGGTGGGGGGTGAAATAAGATTTTGATAAAAGATCTTTTTTCTATTAATAAGAAATCTAAAAGTGTTAAAATTAAGCATTGTTCATTGGTAAACACATTGTCTTTACATAAGTTGTAATTAAAGCTTTTAATTACCTTTGCTTGATTTCGCGTCTGAGAGTCTCTTATTTGGACTATAATAAATTGAACTTAACATATTCTGTGCCATTACTAGCTTTGCTTTGATATGTAGCGGTAATGAGTTTAAATAAGCAATAATCTTATTGATAAACTATAGCGGTCATGATCACCTGAAATTTCAATGCAAAGTGATGGCAGTGAACTTAAATTTTTGTTAGCGTTAATGTTGACCTCCCATATTCAGACCCAATTTCAACAAAGGGATTTTTATCTCCTTGTCATTGCATATTTATTTGCAGGAAAACTGATTTTAGTAATGTAATTTTAATTAAAGCATAAAGATAAAAGGAAGTTTTTTGGTTTCATTAAAATAAAAAAAAAAAACTATTCTTTAGCAAAATTTATCCGACTGTCTATTTAAACAAAGATATATTTAACTCACATGTATCAGAAATAGAGGAAGGTCATTAAAAAGTTGCTAAATCAAAAAAAAGAAGGGAAACAAGATACACTTAACTGATGGAAAACATATTAAAAGCATCCAAATATTTTACATACCCGTTACAAAAACCTTTTCGTTCATCTTTGGAAATGCACATCAGAAATAATGAGACTATAATACACACTTTCAAGAGAATCATTCTCGATTATCAATGTCTTTCAGGATATCCGTTAAACAAATAAATCATGGATTTTATTCCGGCTTTTGGGATTTTCATGTATTCTAGGGAAATAAACGAAAATAAACTTCCCTTTAAGATAAGCTCAGGTTTAATTAGTTTTTTATTTGGTCGTGTTCAAATTAATAAAAGCACAAAAATGCATTCGAAACCTGCAGTGCTACAAAAAGTAAACGTAAAATGAGAAAAGGGCAACTGTTCACACTCTGCACATATTCTTGTGCAAATTAAAGTAGATTTGTAAAGATTATCACAAGTAATGAAACGCAGTTCCAAGTCGTTGTGTTTCGCTTTCCAATCAAGGAATAGGAATCATGCAAACTTTGTACATCCAGATTACGAAGCAAGCCCTTTCCATGTGCACGCTGATACGGTTGGCGTTACTTTAATACTTTTACGATATTAATGGCATAAGCTTGCTTCAAAAATGAAGTTAGTGCCATATGCCATTTATGAAGAGAGCTTAAAAGACGCAACATCCCAGCTTAAAATTATTCACTAAATATGCCCTGTTGTGGTGCGTATCTAACAGATAATTAATTAATCTAAAAAAACAAATATTTTTTTTTCTGTGTTTCAAGATTTGTTGTTTTAAATGTTGAACTAAAGTTTAACATAAATAGAGGGTAAAGAATACAGACACAGACTACTATCATTTCTTACTTTTATCATAACAGTATTCTTTATGTTTCAAAAACGAAGAATTTAGTAAGGGGGTCATAACATCATTTCTTATGGCGTACTACATTACAAAATAAACTATCTTTATTTCTTTCATTTCTCCTTGAGACGGATTCTGCATGTTTCTTTATTGATCATGAGAATCTTAGAAAATAGTATTAAACATGCGAAATTGAAAAAGAAATGTAAATAAGGTATGGATTGATTATGTTACCAGAAACCAAAGAGAACGACAGACAAATGTTTGCACCACAAGATATGTTTTATATCATGGAGAGAGCCAAAAGTTGTACTACAGGCGACATGAACGTAAAAGAGTGTTCGATTTGAAAACATCAGTCTTGCTTTAATGTATAATCGACTTGTTCTATTACAGTAACACAATGATAATGATTTGATAATGAAAGAATTACAAGCAAATTAAATTCTGCCCTTTGAAAACCTTTGGTGTATCCTTACCTAGAGTTCCAAGTAAAGCGTTCGTCGTGATAAGTAATCATTTTGTTTTCTAGCCAAGACAGTGAGTAGTAAGTGTCACGAAGAGCGAGGGTCGTATAGAAACCTACAGACCTATTGAAAGTTACTTATACAGCTCATAACTGTAATGAACAATGCTTAAATCTATAAATGCATTAATTGATGCACACAAAAATTAAGGATTTAATAGATAAAAATAAAAAAAATATATTGATGAATCACATGAAATATAGCTGTTAAATTGCAAATGGATAAGATCATTACGTTTTTCTTAAATGAATTAACTTATAAATGCCTAAAACCTGTAAAAACTTAATATATTTACCATGGTATTTTATCTAATTAACAAAATTAATTATTTTTCCTATGTATTGCAAAACGCCATATCATTTCATATTCTGAGCACTTAAATTATACAATTGGTAATTGGGATATGATGTTGATTAATTCGCTTAATTAATTTCACAAATAATTGTCGACAATTTATTTAACAAAGATTGTCATTTTTAACAAACAATCAAACAAATTCATAAAAATCTAAAAAAGACATATACGTATATTTACACAAGATCAGAATTTTATAAGAAAATATTAGAATTTCATCTATAGCTTCTTTGCCTCAAAATCGAATCATTAATCACTTTGTATCTTTGAAATGAAACATATATCTGAATTGCCAAAAGACATGTGGTTTATAACATTCATATGATTTTTTTTCACTGCTTTGTCTATTTTTCACAAATATAATAAGTCAGTGTATAACATGATTTGTCATTCCAATCACCCAAGTAAAGCACTTCGATGCAATTTTCACGTGAACCCCCGTTAGGTTCATTTTTCATCCAGTTTGTGTAATTCAATGCGCTGTTAGAATGTTCCCAGTAATACGTTCCCTCTGAATTTACATCTGTTCCTCCTATCCACCATTTCTCCCCGAAGGCTGTAATTTCAGAATAAAAAGGGATAAACCTCCATACCTCAAAAACGAAATAAGGAAGCATTGTATGTATGTATGATTTATAAACATGATTAAGTATACATTTGAATAGAATGTTAGATAAAGACATTAGACTATTATACTTAATGTGGACCTTCCTTCGTGCATATTTTTGTAACTAAGATTGATTACAGTGACTTTACTTTGCACAGGTATTTTAGATTAAATAAATCTAACACATTAAATCATCAAGTAAGATCATCAGATATAGAATTATGTGAAAATAAGTATAGCTTTCGAGAACAGAATATGGTATCCCTAAATGCAGATTGAAAATGACTGTCAGTTTCAACAAAGAGTGCAAAAGTGATAAAATAAAATAAAACCAAGCTAAAATTATAAATTCATAAATTTAAAAAAAAAAATAAAAACAGATCGAACAAGGTGTGTTTGTGAAACCCTGATGCTCCTTATGGCAACATAGCAAATATTGATACCAAAAGTAGAGAATTCTCACTGGAAATACAATTGTGAAATATGAAACAAGGCCTAGTTTCAAGGGTTGCCATAAGTACGGAAATCGTTAAGGTCATTGGTATCCAATGAAAGCTAGTCTAGTTGTTTATATACCCTAGCTTGAAAAAAGTGATGGTTTAAAGTGATTGGAGTGTCCGTCTGTTTGTCTGTACGTCTATCTGTCTACCGTCCGTCCGTCTAGCTGTCTGTACGTCCGTTCGTTTGTCACACTTTGGGATAAGTGTCTCTTATCTGCAGCTCCTCTTAATGTACGAGGGCCATTCAAAAATTACGCGGACTGTGCTATTATTTACTCTTACAGACGTCATATAGTTACGAAATTTCACAGAAATATGTATCTTGAAGATTCCAATAAATTTTCGGCAAAATTTCTGTATTTTAAAAAAATTCCACTAAAATTATCGGTATGTTGATATCGCTGATGGAGTGGTACGTAGGGCGACAAAAAATTTGAAGCAAAAGCATGCGGAATCCAAAAATTAACTCATTAATTTTCTATAATTCGCGACATTTTTCGACAATTTTCTCAAATATATCTTTAAATTGTTCTATTATTATGTATTTAGATTTCTGACGTGATATTTGAAGTACTAACAGAAATATATTGATTTTTCTCTGATGCGATTCCCGTGAAAACGACTGTGAAAATGGCGTCTCCTGAATTGACGGCGCACCACACTTTTGTTAAACTATGTGTATTGCTCGAGATATCGCCAACATAGATCCAAAATATGCATAATAAAACATGTAGTAAACTAGGGCATTCGTGACATTCGTCCACAAAAAGCAAATTGAAATTTTAGACCGTTAGACCTCTGTAAAATGGCTTTACAGGAGGACGGGAAGAAGATTATCAACGAAAACTTTATCCGGATTGTAAAGAACGTGATTGAGAGTCACCAATATCACACCATATCTCATAAATACCTGCAGTTTTTGGTTTTAAAACAAAAAAAAGAATATTCTTTACTTGTTTAATAGATTTTAAGCTTGACAGGAAATGGTTTTTGGATGCTGAGTAGATAAGGTAACTCAAACTGTACAGGTACTCGTGGGAAAATGTTGAGAAAATGAAAGCTCAATTACATATTTTTTTAAAAATGCCTGTGACGTCGAAGATTTTGCTGCTCCGTGACTTAATGATATGTCCTGAAAGATCACTCAAATTTGATACCAATTTACAAAATTTTGATACGAAAATTTGAAGACCATATAAGTAAAGATTCTTTTATATCATGTGTGACATTTTGCCCGATTATGTCGTCAAATATTTTTTCTGTGCAACAAGTCCGCGTAATTTTTGAACGGCCCTCGTATACCTCTGAGACTTTTACAGAAACTTTGTTACATATTACTATGATTGTACACTCCTATTTTCGGGTTTCCCAGAGCAAAACATAGACTGCCGTTATAAATATATGGGACGCGGAGGTATTATTTGGTGCGATCAGTACTCACGGCACTGCTAGTTTTACGTGAGTGTTAACAGTGGTTATTCAGAACTGGTAAAATGACAGCTGAGGCTAAATCATATACTCATTAGGGATATATTGTTTCAGTTTCCCACAAACTTTGAGTTTATTATACGTTTCAAATTTACTTTCATTCTGACTTTTGATACCCAAAATGTTTAAAATGTTTTACATGGGGCTGATCTACAATTGATATATATTTTTTTGCGCGGCATAGTGTTACACAGCAAAAAAGCAAAGTTTGGTAGGATTTTAAGAGAATTATTAAGTTTTCTTACCCAGTTATTTTTTTTTTGTTTATGTAACGCCACTTACATCAGCGAAGTTTCAGAAATGGTCAACATTCGGAACTGACCAAACTACTGTAGCATAAAATTGATTCAAAAAGTTTTCATGTTGAAATTACCCGACGTTTTAACAAGTTAATTGTGCATTTGTGTTCAATAATATAACAAAAACAACAACAAAAATAAAGATGATACATTTCTTACCTCTGTCACATAAATACAATATGAACAACTAGGTAGCTAAACGATACTAGTTCAGTACTCAAAATGTTCAAAGAGAAAACAAAAAAGCACCTTGGCGTTGAATAAAGTTTTGTTCTGCTTCAGTTTCTATGATCAGGAGATGTGCTCCCATCGAAATGCAGCTATCCTGACAGAATAAAATCAAATATAAGTATATTCACTAAAGGGAGAATCAATGTAATTTATTTTAACAGTAACTTGATTCGAAGGGTAGTATCACATCGAGTTGACAGGCGCGGATCAACAGATCAAATGATAAAATGTTAATTTATTATACTTCTTATAACTAGGTAGATATAGCAAAAGGAAACTTTAAAGATGAATTTTATAATATTTATCTACAAAACAAAGCATAAAAGAAAGGGACTTTTTAACGCGCAAGAAAATAACGTCATGTTTCTGGGTATTACGTCGTCAGTTTCAAAGAGTGGTGATGTGGATTCAAAAACCCAAAGTGTGGTGATCTGAAAAGCTGGATCACGATATCACGTGATTGCGTAAAATTACCAGTAAAATTGAGTGATACACATTACATGTAGGTATATAATAAATGCAGTTATCAGAGAAGGAAAAGGAACAGATGTAGTATGTATTTTCAAATTAGTCCTTTTTGTATTGTTTTCAAACATAGAAACATTTGATCTGAAAACATTGAAATCGATCAAAAGTTTTAGAAAATGTTACACACTTACGCTGAAATACATTCGCTTAAATTCTCTTAATCTGCAGACGAAGAAGCTGTTTATTAAAAATGATCAAAGACCCCTTTAAATCCATTTCTAGTTGTTACCAAAAATTACATAGGAGTGACTGTGATTTTTTTATTTGTAGAATGGGTATATTTTATAAATGAACTATTTGAACTTCTAATAAAAACACTTATAAGTTTGTTTTAAACAATGTCAGAATATTTCTACCTCCAAAGTTGAAAGTACGTAATGTTCAAACATTTTTGAATTTTGATTCTTGACATCAAAACAAGTATATCAATTTAATATTCCAACCACATTTAACTGCCTGTACATGGTTACAATTGAACAAAATGCAGATAAACTTAGTACCCTGAAAATGTTTACACAATATAGGGTGTAAAAATATTTCTGCTGATGAAATTTAAAAGAAAATTTTAATGTATTTCAGTCATCATATTTCGTAATTACATGTATGATTTTTTTATTTAATCTTCACTGATTTGTTATATCATTATTATTAACTCAGTATGCTAGAATATCTACGTGCACCAGGGGAAAAATCAAATTTTGAATTTTTTCGACTTATGACATCTTAACTTTTCAGTGACATCTTACCATTACATGTGAAAAGATTTTGAGACATCATTTTTCTTTTCTTTATATCATTTAATTAATTTTTCTTTTTAAATTTGCATAAAAAATTATTTGAGATTGATTAAAGTTTTAAATATATATCATGGTTCTGAAAATGAGCCGTATAAAAGGTTGTTTTCTTACACGAAAATGTGCCAATATTCTGTACGTGCAACAAATATGTCACCAAAGAAATGAAGGTTTTGTTTTTAATAAATAAAAAGCTCGGTATTACAATTCTTCCTGTTTTTAAACTGCCAGGTTTTGAAGGAGAGAATACCGCTAAAGCAACTCATCTTTGCCTTGAACTTGGCGCAGTTAGAATTGGTTCTGTTCTTAATCCTTAAAACACTGCTTGTATTCGCAACTGTAATCCTGCAGGATACTTTATTATTTGTAACGTCAAAATAGTTAATAATGCAGACCTTAAATTCATTGTTTCAAAGAAACTAAAATTTATGGTACCCCCAAAATTTCAACAGGCTTTATATTCGTATGAGTTTTGAGATTTCCGTGGCAAATTACCCCCGGCGAATGTCCAATAATGACAAAAAGACCTTGACACTTTGAGAGAATGGATTAAAAGTATCCGAGAGATGCTAATATCTTACATTAAGCGACTGATGGCAATATGAAAATATAAAAACCATCTATTCATCTGTCTTCAATAATTCAGAAGTCGAAAGGGATCTAATTAAGCGATCAATATGCACTGGTCCCTGCTGAAAAGCAAGTGACACAATTGTCATTGTTTGTAACGCTCATTATTTTCATGCATTTTAGGTGAACTTGAATTTAATTTCATAAGTGTAATCCAATGTATTCACAAAGTTCTCTTTCTAAAGATGAGCGTCTTTACGGCCTTATGTCAGTTTAAGATATTTTTTCATCAAATTCCAAACGGCTAAAATGAATTATTAATTATTTAAAGCAATATGAGCTGCATTTTTGACAATTTTATTTTGCTGGTAAAATGTGGTATTATGATTAATTTGCATGCTATTTAAACCCTAATTACCAATAACACCAAAGTAGTGTACAGTGTACAATCTAATATACTTTATTAAATGAGAAATCAATAATGATGTTTCGCTTGAATCAAAGCATACAAAAAGTTCTTTCATCGCAAATATGAACCACAGAAATTCACTTTATAAAAATCATTACAAACAAAGGTAGGAGAGATTCCCAGTAAATATTCTACGAAATCCCCTTTTTTACTCTTCACTAAAATTTTAAGAGCAGTGAAGAAGAAACGACTGAGGTACTGTACAACAAAATATTCGAAAAAAGTCTATATCAGATGGAGATTTCTACAAACTCCGAGGAAACTAAAGAAAATGTGAAATCCAAATTATAAATTAAAAATATCGACAAGTACGACTTTCAAACACGTTTCTGAAAATTCCTCTCTTTAAATCAAAGTCCAGGATTTTATTTCATTTTATACAACTGTTAGGAAGTTTACTCGTATCTTTTTTTTTTCTTTTTTCGAAAACTGCATGCAAGGAAACTGTGCATGAAAAGATGAAGACTCTTGATGTGGCTTTCAATTCAACATATAGGTACATGTACATGTATATGATTTTTGAAGACGTTTGTGTTCTTTACACAATTTGTATGATTTTAATGGACGTCTGAGCCTGATTGCTGTTCGTTATCGTCATATCTGATACATTAATGTTATCAATAATACGGCATGAAGAAAATAGCATGAAGAAAAAAAATGAAGATATGCTCAAATGCATTTGGGGAGGGGGGGGGGGGGCTGTCAGAGTATTTCTTCATAAAAAAGCAAAATAAAAGAAATAAAAAAAACATTCTTTTGACACTTTTTATCAAGCATCTTTTTAGGAAATTCAAAGCTGGATAATTAGCAAATAAGTGGATATTAAATGTAGGTGCATTCTTAAAAAAAACTGTCAAAGTATTTTTTTATTAATTGGAATTTAAATAACTCATTTACTAATTCGATACTCAAAATTCAACAGAAAGAATTTAAATTTAACCTTGGGGATATCAAATTTTACATTCATTCTTTGATTGATTGATTGTATATTGCTTAACGTCCCTCTAGAGAATATACACTCATGTGGAGGCGTAACCGTATGCCAGTAAGGGGCTTCAAATTTTGACCTTTACTCGGCACTCAGGACCATTGAGCAGTGAGGGATCTTTATCGTGCCAACGCCTTCAGCTGACACGGTTCTTCGGTTTTTAAGTTCTCATCTGAAGGACCCACAACTTTCACTTTAAAGTGCCGAGTGCATGGCGAAGGAACAGTTGCTACCAATTTAAACGACTAGGTCAGTAGCGGCCGAGATACGAACTCACGACCTCCCGATCACGGAGCTAGCGCTCTACCGACTTAGCTACCGTGAACGGTAAAAGGTAAAAGATAACTTGAAAATATCCTCAAAGAAAACTCTTTTGTTATTAACAAAAATGCAAGGCAGAAAACGCTTCGCGTCTCGTTAGATCTGATGATCCCCGCCTGTCACCGACAGTTGCTACCCATTTTATCGACTAGGTCAGTCGTGGCCGAGAAACGAACTCACGGCCTCCTGATCTCTGACAGAACTACCGTGAACGGTCATTCATTTTTCGAAAAAATGAAAAAAAAAGTGAAATGTAAAAAAGATGTAGTTTTTTAATCGAAACAAAATAGATTTAAAGTTAGTTTAAAAAAAAATAAATTAAAGGTCTATAAATTAAAATAAGAATTTTGAGTCTAAGAGAGAGAGAGAGAGAGACAGAGAGAGAGAGAGAGAGAGAGAGAGAGAGAGAGAGAGAGAGAGGTGTATAACATAACTAATAGATCCAATGGACAGAGTGTAAAGTGTTTTTTTCATAAATAATTTAATAAATGTTTATGACATAAAAATAAAGAAATAAATACTTGCTATATTGTCAATCTACATCTATAAGTACTTCTTTTCAATAGACAAGAGATAACCATAAATTTATATCGGTCTTTAAATTTTAAACCGGACCTGTAAATGAATTGACCCTTCTTAAAAAGTGATTGAGATTTTCTTATCATTTACCATCAATTTAATTCCCGAAAAAATCACATTTTTCAGCTCATAAATTAAATGCATTTTATTTTTATAAAGCTTTTTTTTCTTTACAAGATGTACATGTAGTGTCTTAAAATATCCACCACCAACCATATCTCTTAAATTACGTACCCTGGCAGCATGCCATTTAAGAAACTTTTTCACGAAGCAGTACTTCATTCCTCCAGTTATCTTCAATGAGTTTAGACATTCTGCAATATGGTTCAGTAAATAATTAAATTGGAACATTTATGGAATAATTCTGATGTTATTGACAAAACTAATTTCACTTCGCAGTATGTAAATGATCAGTTACTTTAATATCGATCAGGTTTGTTTTGCTTACAGATCTGTTTATCTGTAACCATACTTCTACAAGACCTTTCGAAGTAAAAAAAAATTGGTCATACATTCAAAGAACTTAAAAAAATATTCCTATTTTCATTTATAAACCTAAGGGTTTTTTTAATTATTTTTTTTATAAAAACTAACTTTAATTCTATTTAAGTATTTTACGATGAAAAGAAAAAAATTCTGCTTAAAGAATAGATTGCAAAAACACGTGTAAAATTAAAAGATCATTTAATAAATCCCAACACTTATATATTACTCCATCAATATGGCTTTGCATAAAACCCAAATAAACCAATTGTAGGGAAAAAAAATTAAAACGCAGGGGCTATAAGGAAGCGTACAAAATATTCTGCGTTGGCTAAATCAGTGTTACATAACGACGTCTTGGTAATCGAGATGACATCAATTTTAAAAAAAGAAGTTTTCGTAATATTGGTATTTAGAGATTTAGTTCAACTCTAAAAAATGAAGAGAAACGTGTAAACATTAAAAAGAAATAAAGTATTCTTATTATGTTATGCTTTATCTGTCAATTTTGATTAAAATCTACTACTGTTGACATCATATTGGTACATCAAGTAACTTGGTAATTGATAATGTCGAGTAAAGAGAATTTGGCTAAGACAAGACACGTAAAATTGTGTTTAAAAGAAAATATTGTGAATATTATGTGAAATTCATATGTAGTTCAGTTAAGGTTTGTCACTCGTCAGCTTTTTAGTAAAGTTTACGCAGACTTTTACTTCAAAACTACTTATTAAAATTTGATTTTTAAAAGATATTTAAATTCAACAATGTAAAGAATGACTCTTCATAACATTGCGATCTGGCCCCTTTTTAAACACGGATTTTTGCCTTTTCAACTCAGAATATTGACATATTTTAGCTAAAATATATAAGTATGGTATGAAAACAAACACTTCAAAATCTTTTTTGATATAGAGACTCTCAATATATACATCATATCAATGAAATAAAATTGCATACATCAGTGCCAAATCTTAACTTCGGTATTGCGGCTATATAGGTCATTGCATTATTTGAATAAGGAGGCGGAGCGTCAATCAAGCATGCGAATAGTGTGAATACATTATCGAGTGTTCGACTTGTACTTAATATAATTTTTAAGTGATATCTTGTTAAATAACTAAACAATCTTAAAACCCCCTCACCTTTTTTTCGGGCTTGGGACCGACAAATGTAATAATTTTGGCAGGTTTAGGTTTTGTTTTTACTGCTTAGCTTTTAAACGAGTATATCAATGAAATTAATATTTTTTGAAATTCGTTGAAATAAAATGTTAACACAATGATATGGTTTCTGTAGACATAATGTATTACAAAAGATGGTATTTTAGGACTAAGAAAGTATATTTAAGATTTTACAGTAACCTAGCTTATTTCTCAAGGGATAATAATTCTAATTCTAAAGCGATAATAATTTCATTAAAGGTTTTTTCACACGTAGAATTGATTATCAATAGCATATAATTTTGCAAAAGATCTGAGTGTTCCAACAAATATATGTATGCAGTTGAATATTGATAGAAAGCCAGGATAATGTTGATCTTTAATCATGCGTTTATTGGACAAGTGAGGGGCACACGCGTGCTTTTTCGTGCAATATAACATTATGTTTAAGAAATACCTGTGCGCAGGCTTTCTTAGAAACGTTAACAGTTTTTATTGATTTTTACGGGATCTGCAAATAGCACAATATTTGTGTGCCGATGTAAAATGTTTTAACATCAACATTGCCCCTAGAAGTCTGAAGCGTCCCCCTCTTCATATCGAGGGTGCATTTTGTGCAGATATGGTCATCCCCCATGACCTTTCCTCCCGTAATACGCGCTAATTCAGTCCTCCATACTTCGTTTATCTTTCCCTTGAGGGTTCTTCGATTAGATTTATTTGTGCGCTTTTTACAAACAACACAGTTTATACTTTCAGGCATGGGGAATACTAGTAAGTGTTTTCCGATTATTACAGTGTATAATGACGGTTTTAACAGAAAAAAGGACTATAACTTTTATCATTATACTTCTGTTAAAATGTTTCCTATATAAAGTTCAGAGGGTAAAATAACTATCCTTTATAGTCTACGCATAGCAAAACTATACCCCGGGGTATAGTTTTTGCTATCCACCCTCGGAAAATGTTCATGCAATTGTTGCCGCCAATTTTGATTTTCAGCGATAAATCTTTAAACTGATGATGTCATAATGACTTTAAGAGCATTGTGACGTCATCAGGATTTCAGATTATTCTTGCAGAATTATCTTACCTGAAAGAAAATCAAACCTCAGAAATTAAATTATACATCAGTTTAACAACACGCTTATCCCCTGGTTTTGAGTGGGATATCTCTTTTATCAAACCCTTGACAGGAACTATTCCCCTCGGGCAAGCCCTCGGGCAATATTCTCTGTCGCGGGTTTGATAAAAGAGCTATCCCACTCAAAACCAGTGGATAAATGTATAATATCTTCCAGCAGTTTAAGTGGGAGTTTTCTTGAAACAGATGCACGTGTATAATATATAAACACAGTAAAAAGCGGAATCAACGAAGAGGATTTTTAATTATGTTTAATAAAAAGATGCATTAATGAAGTAATAGATGTATGCTATACCCCCCCCCCCCCCCCCCCCCCCCCCGAAGTAGATCGATAGATACTTATTACCGAAAGAAAAAAAAAACAAACGGAAAATGGCAAAAATAAACTTCAATAACGCGTAAATAAAACAATTCAACCTAGCATATAGATAAATCAAGTATGCACTTTTCCAAAATACATGTATTTTCAAATAGAAGCGTTGTCCATGTATTTTTAGCCGACGGAATAAGATTTGACAATGGATAGCTCGCATACACTCTAGACACGATGTCGAAATGGTGTGCTCAAAGCGTGAAAGTGAATAGATTTAAATCACGTGTTCAAAGCTTATTCATGAGGTCAAAGACGGGTTGAAATTTGTAAACAAGGTAGCTTTACTATAGAGACAGGTACCCGTGATTTTGAGGTTTTTGGGAAAATAACACATGAGCACACGATTGTTTCAATTTCTTTCATGGATGTAAATGATTAGTATTACTTTTTACGTTGTCCATAAAAACGGCAAATTGAAACATCAATGCGCTCATATAAAACATGGGCTTACAAAATGGGGGTGTGGCCTAAAGTCTATGAGAAATTGATGTAAACAATGTAGCCCTGCTATATTAATCAGAAAAAATACCTAATTACAGTTTATGAAAGCAAATTTTTAAATTGAAATTAATAAACTACAATGCTTAATGGAAATATTGAGGCAAAATTATGTAGAAAATCTGAAAGTTATTTTTTTGTAAATATTTGGGGGGGGGGGGGCAAATGTGGACGTTTAAACGATTCAACGAAATAACTGCTCAAAAAACTGCGAAGAAGCTAGATTTATGAGGGACTATTTTTTTTAGTGGAAGGACATTTAGCAGAAAATTCTGCGAATCTGCACATTTATAAAATTTAATTTAATGGAAATTTAGCCTCAAATAATTTTACTCGGAGAATAATTTCCGTTTTGATATTGCTAAAATTTAATATAGGTCTTTATTTATATTTTTAGACTTAGTTTTACACCTTCCCTCATCAAACTTTTCTAAAAAATGAAAAATATAAAAGAAGTCAAGATCAAATTTACACCATTTTTTGCCTAAAAATCACATATTGTGACAAATGTTTGAAAATTAACATCACTGACCCCACCTTTTTCTTTCATTATTTTAACCTACTCGATACTCGTAACTGATCAGCACTGAAGTCGTAAAAAGTTTGATATAAGAAATTTTTTTATTGCATATTAAGTTTTTACATACCCCAAATTTGCTATTTTTTAGTGCAAAAAGGTCAAACAATAATTTAAGCGCATTTTTTGCAAGATTTGTTTAATGATAATTTTTATTCAAACTATTTTACGAAAAATAACATTATATTTATTGCCATGCTTACATCTGATAAAATATAACAAGGGTTAAAGTAATTAACCAAAGAGATGACATTTAAGTGCAAAATGGTCAACTTAAATGTACCATAGATCAGTAGGATGCACATTGACCCCCTACTTTCTTTGCAATTTTGAGTTACACTTTATGAGTACTTATCCTAAATATACTTCTCAAAAAATCCTTGATTTAACAAATTTCAGGAGTGACTTACCTTAATAAAACAGGTATGCTTATTTATTTATTTTCCTCGATTATATTGTTTTTCGGAAACAGTCAGCTATATACGTATCCCGGTCGGCCTTTCCTCTGTCATTCGACACAAAAATAATGCAACAGAACAACAAAAAGCTGGGTATTTTAAAACATAAGGTTTGTACAGATGGAAATGATACTTGGAAATTGCTGCTAAAATCCCGAATTAAACAGGGTTTTGCGAAAAATCTCGGTTCATATGTATGAAATTCAAAACATCCGGTAAGGTTTCGTGCAAATGTGTGGAATAATTATTTTACTGACAGGACAGAGGGATTCTAGCGGCAAAATATATGTTTTTCAACGATATTATTTACACAAAGAAATTATCAAACTCCAGGATATTGTCTTTCTGTTAGCTTTTTTATTAAAGAAAATTTCGCCATTAATTGAAGTCACGTGGTGCCGTGGTGGTAGGGCATGTCTTCGCGTTAAACGCTCTTTTTATCTCCACAAAATATTGATTAATAGTTTACGTTTATCAGAGATTTCGGTGAATTATAATCTTATTTTCATAAAAAAAGTATAAATTTCCCGAGAAATGATTGATATTCTTCATTAATATACCCGCAAACTTTTGATTTTCTAGACTTTACCCTATTTTATTAAGTTTTGAAATTGGAAT